CCCTCACCCTGGCTGGCCAGGCACCCTAGCGGGACCCCCACCCTGATCCGGGACACCCTTCAGGGCAAACCAGCCCGCCCCCACCCGTGCACCAGGCCTCTATCCTATATAACAGTGGTTCTCAACCTTCCTAATGCCGTGACCCTTTAATACAGTTTCTCATGTTGTGGTGACCCCCAATTTCATTGTTACGAATTGAACATAATTAAAGAATAGTGATTAATCACAAAAACAATATGTAATTATATATGTGTTTTCCTATGGTCTTAGGCAACCCCTGTGAAAGGGTAGTTTGACCCCCAAAGGGGTCGCGACCCACAGGTTGAGAACCACTGCTATATAATGAAAGGGTAATATGCAAATTGACCCTAACAGCAGAACGACTGGGAATGACTGGTCACTATGACACACTAACCACCAGGGGGCAGACGCTCAATGCAGGATATGCCCCCTGGTGGTCAGTGTGCTCCCACAGGTGGAGCTCTGCTCAGCCATAAGCCAGGCTGCTCGTTGCCATCACAGCTGTGGTGGCGGGAGTCTCTCCTGCCTCCTCAGCAGCCCTAAGGATGTCCGACTGCAGCTTAGGCCTGCTTCCTGCTGGCAAGCGGACATCCTCTGAGGGCTCCCGGGCTGCCAGAGGGATGTCTGACTGCCAGCTTCGGCCTGATTCCCCGAGGAGAGGCCAGCAGGTGGACATCCCCTGAGGGGTCCCAGACTGCAAAAGGGCACAGGCCGGGCTGAGGGACCCCCCCCGAGTGCACAAATTTTTGTGCACCGGGCCTCTAGTTATTAAATAAAAGTGGCTGAGAATTTTTCAGAGTTGATAAAAGGTAACAGTTCTTATATATCGTGGAAGTCCAGTGAATCCCAAGGAGGAGAAATAAAATAACCCCTGACAAATTAGAGTGAAAATACAGAAGACCAAAGACAGATCTTAAAAGCAACAGATTGCTATACAAATGTTTTTCTTTAGCAACTGATTTCCCAGAAGCAACAACAGAAGCCATAGGACATTGGAATGCTATCTTCAATGTACTGAGAGAAAATAGCTGTCAGCCTTAAGAAAATAGAACATGTATTCAGTAAAACTGTCTTTCAGGAATGACAGCAAAGTAAAGACATTTTCAGGCCCTCTCCTACCCCTACACACACAACCAGCAGACCTCACTGAAGTAGATTTAAGGGACAGCATTCAGGTAGAAGGAAAGTCATCCCAATGGAAAGCCTGAGCCGCTTTTTTTTTTTTCTTTTAAATATATTTTTATTGATTTCAGAGAGGACAGAAGAAGGAGAGAGAGAGAGAATCATTGATTGGCTGCCTCTTGCACACCCCACACTGGGAATTGAGCCCGCAACCAGGCATATGCCCCAAGCTGGAATTGAACCGTGACTTCCTGGTTCATAGGTCAATGCTCAACCACTGAGCCGCGCTGACGGGGCCCTGTGATGCTTTTTAATGACTACAATATGTTTTTGGTTTTTTTTAAAATATATTTTATTGATTTTTTACAGAGAGGAAGGGAGAGATATAGAGAGTTAGAAACATTGATGAGAGAGAAACATCGATCAGCTGCCTCCTGCACATCTACTGGGGATGTGCCCGCAACCAAGGTACATGCCCTTGACCGGAATCGAACCTGGGACCTTTCAGACGCTCTATCCACTGAGCCAAACCGGTTTCGGCAGACAATATGTTTTATCAAATAGATTCTATAAATCAGTCTCTATTGGATATTTATGTTGTTTTCATTTTAACTGAAGTTATACTGAATATGTTTATTCATGTATTATATAGAGTAAATAATAGAGAATACATCTTTTTACTAGAAACCCAAATTACTGGGTCAAAAAAAGGAATGAGTATTTTTATGTTTCTTGATACATACTGTAAAATTATTTTTCTAATTTATATTGCATCTGGAAGACTATGCTGGCTTTACAAATGTGTAAGTGTGTGATAGGGCCAGTTTTAAATGATGAAGATTAACATTTCTTACCAGGTTTTGACTTAGTTATATCTTTGACAAAAATGTTCTATCTCATTACTCTCCCATTGTTATGAAAAGTGGTTCCTTTTTTATTTTTTTTTATTTCAGAGAGGAAGGGAGAGGTAGGGAGAGATAGAAACATCAATGATGAGAGAGAATCACTGATCGGCTGCCTCCTGCACTCCCGCTCACTGGGGATGGAGCCCACAACTAGGCATGTGCCCTTGACTGGAATCGAACCTGGGACCCTTCAGTCCAATGCTCTATTCACTGAGCCAAACCAGCTAGGGCAAAATACTTCCTTTTTAATAGAAGTGAAATACTGTTGGCTGGAGCGACTTACACCAAAAGCTTGTGGGTTTGATTCCTGGTCAGGGCATAAACCCAAGTTGTGGGTTTGATCTCTGGTCAAGGTACATATGGGAGGCAACTGATTGATGTTTCTCTCTCCCTTTCTCTAACATCAATAAAAACTTACCCTCAGGTGAGGATTTACAAAAAAGAAGAGAAATACTAACTGAAATGTATTCTTTAATAATTTTTCAATTTTCTAGAATGTAGTCTTTGATTTTTCTTTATCTTTTTCAGTTTATTAACAAATATATAGTCAGTCCATTTAAAGAAATGTCAGGTAAATATTTAGTTTTTGTTTTATTATGAAGGAAAACTTTTAATGCTGCTACTTTTTTTGTTAATCCTCACACGAGGATATTTGTCTATATTGATTTTTTAGAGTAGAAAGGAGGGGGAGACATAGAGAGAAACATCGATGTGAGAGAGACACATTGACTGGTTGCCTCCAGCACATACTTTACCCAGGGCCGGCAACCAAGGTACATGCCTTTGACCAGGAATTGAAGCCAAGACCCTTCAGTCCATGGGCCAGCACTCTAACCACCGAGCCAAACCGGCTAGGGCTACTTTCTTTTCTAGCTCTGTATATGCCACGTTATAGCAACAGTGTAGAAATTTGTTTATTTTATTTTATAATTATTATTTTGAGATTATGTTTATTAAAGCTGGGGACAGTGAAACAGGTAAGGGCTTAGGATAGAAAAAGCAACAGGAGAGAGCCTAGGTGGGGCTGCTCTGGCTCACTGGAAAGTTAGAGAAAAGGGCCTTGGATACAGGTTCAGGGAGTTAGCCTGGGTTGAGCTGCCACTGCCCATTTGCTCCCCTGGTTGCAAGTCTTGTGGCGACCCTTAGAGTTTGGGAAATGCACACCAGTGGAGAAGAGGAGGGGGAAGGGAAAGGCACAGGCATGCTCCTGAGAGGGAGAATGTGCCAACAGTATAGAAGTTTAAATAGTTTTTTAAAGACATTTGTGTTTTTTTAAAATATGTTTTTATTGATTTTTAGAGAGAGAGGAAGGGAGAGGGATAGAGAGATAGAAACATCTATGAAAGAGAGACATAGATTGACTGCCTCCTGCACACACCTTACTGGGGATCAAGCCTACAACCTGAGCATGTGCCCTGACCGGGAATCGAACCAGGGAACTCTTGGTTCATGGGCTCAACCACTGAACCACACCAATTGGGCTAAGTTATTCATTCTTAAAGGGGAAATGTACTGTTTTGGGGAATTCTGTATTCTAAGAACTGAATATAAAAAGGTGTCTTTTTTTTTTTAACCTTTAACCTTTCTGCTATTTCAGGTGCAAGTGAAAGTGTTGGGAAACATATGCTTGAAGCCTGCAACAATAATCTGGAGATGGCAGTCACAATGTTTTTGGATGGTGGTGGAATCGCTGAAGAGCCCAGTACCAGTTCAGCAAGTGTCTCCACTGTTAGACCACACACAGAGTATGAATTTATTATTTCTTGTTAGGAGCAACCCTCTGCCTATATTGAGTAGCTGCATTTTTATCAGGTTAATTCTCAGTATTTGAAAAAAAAAATTATAGTTGAGAGCATCTGAAAAAGTGTCAAATAGAAATTTTTATACTTATTTTAAATTCTCGAAAGCACTGTTATGTCTTATCTATTATTTAATCCTCAAAAGAATCCTGTAGGATGGCATTATTACCCATGTTTTACAGTTGAGGAAACAGGCATAGCCATTTTCCCAAGTTACACACACAGCATTTAAGTAGCATATATGGAAGTAAAACCCAACAAAGTTGAGATTTCCCAATTCTAGATTTTCTTACATTGTCCTAGGAAAGTTTTGAGCTGCCGTGAAAAAATTTTGAAAAATAATTTTAGTCTTTTATACCTTAGTTAGGTTATTAGAAGCACCTACAGTATATGGAACCATACTATATAGAGAATAGTCATAAATGTTAGATAGGTTTGTTATTTTTTGCCCTTTTCATTTGATACCAATGAGAGTTTGAAATGAATACCTTTTGGGCAAAATTCCAACAGTTTTTGGAAAATATTAGAAATGAATGTTATTCAAAGGAAAACCTTTCATTTTAAAAAAAAACACACAAAATTTAAAAGATCCTTAAGACTTTAATACTCATAGTCCTTTATAATTCAGTGTTTATAAGATGAGATAAAAAATAGAGGAATCTCCTTAAATAGGGATAGACAGAAGACATGGATTTTATTTTAATAAATTAGACATAGATTTAAGAGGCCAAATAACATTCAGGACATTTTTTCCTCTTTTATTGATATAGTTCCAGGTTCCAGAGTAATATCGTTTCCACATGAAGCATGAACTTTAGAGATCATTATTATTATTTTTTTTAAATTAAATCTTTATTGTTCAGATTACATTTGTTCCTCTTTTTTTTTTCCCCCCCATACCTCCCCTCCTCCCAGTTCCCGCCCCACCCTCCGCCCTCACTCCCCACCCACTGTCCTCATCCATAGGTGCACGATTTTTGTCCAGTCTCTTCCCGCATCCCCCACACCTCTTTCCCCCCCAAGAATAGTCAGTCCATTCCCTTTCTATGTCCCTGAGTCATTATAATCGCCAGTTCCTTCTGTACATCAGATTATTTATTCACTTGATTCTTAGATTCACTTGTTGATAGATGCATGTTTGTTGTTCACAATTTGTATCTTTACCTTTTTCTTCTTCCTCTTCTTAAAGGATACCATTCAGCATTTCGTATAATACTGGTTTAGTGGTAATGAACTCCTTTAGCTTTTCCTTATCTGTGAAGCTCTTTTTCTGACCTTCAATTCTGAATGATAGCTTTGCTGGATAAAGTAATCTTGGATGTAGGTTCTTGGCATTCATCACTTTGAATATTTCTTGCCACTCCCTTCTGGCCTGCATAGTTTCTGTTGAGAAATCAGCTGACAGTCGTATGGGTACTCCCTTGTAGGTAACTGACTGTCTTTCTCTTGCTGCTTTTAAGATTCTCTCTTTGTCTTTTGCTCTTGGCATTTTAATTATGATGTGTCTTGGTGTGGTCCTCTTTGGATTCCTTTGTTTGGGGTTCTCTGCGCTTCCTGGACTTGTAAGTCTATTTCTTTCATCAGGTAGGGGAAGTTTTCTGTCATTATTTCTTCAAATAGGTTTTCAATATCTTGCCCTCTCTCTTCTTCTGGCACCCCTATAATTCGGATGTTGGTACACTTGAAGCTGTCCCAGAGGCTCCTTACACTATCTTCGTATTTTTAGATTATTTTTTCATTTTGCTTTTCCGGTTGGGTGTTTTTGCTTCTTCGTATTTCAAATCTTTGACTTGATTCTTGCGATCCTCTAGTCTGCTGTTGGAACTCTGCATAATATCCTTTATTTCAGTCAGTGTATGCTTAATTTCTAGTTGGTCCTTTTTCATAACCTAGAGATCATTATTAATATTTTATAAAGTTCTTTTCTCTCTCAATCTTGGCCATATAGTTCAGGTGTGATATCCCATTCTCTCTCAACTTAGCGTGCAAATCAATATGAAAACATCATTAATTTTACAGAAAATTGGGTAACAGTTACTCACAGCAGATTTGGGAAATACCTTAATTGTGTTTAAAAATAGTTTTGAGAAATGAATGTTTTTCCCTACTGAATTCCATTATAATTTGACTTAGATTATTTGTACAGTGGGGCCTTGACTTACGAGTTTAATTCGTTCCGTGACTAAGCTCGTAACTCAAATTACTCGTATGTCAAATCAACAGTGAACGAGTGAGACACGTGATGCTGGGCTGATGTTGTGGCGTTCACTGTGACGTTCGCTGCGCCAACTAGCGGTGGGGTATCTGAAGCTGGCTCGTAACCCGAATTTTAGCTCGCAACTCAAAGCAAAAAATCGGCCGAGAGAAGGCTCGTATCTCAAAAAACTCGTTAGTCGGGACACTTGTAAGTCAAGGCCCCACTGTATTGCTAATTGGTTAACATTTGATAGTGGCTCCTAATTCCTAAACTGTAATTTTCACTGTTTACAGTTCACCTTATTCTATTCCATTCTTCCATCTTGTTATGTAGTTAACAATTTGGAACAGATACCCTCAAGTATATAGTAATCAAGTCTTTCTGTAGAGGGACAACTACTGATTGAAATAATTATATATATATGTAAAAGTGAGGTATGCTAATAATGGAAAGATTTATTTAGGTAAAAGATGTCTTTTAAATTATTAGTTTTCTTAAGATAATGACCTATTTTTCTTTGATGGAAGAGGATTAATAGAGTTTCCTCTTACAGACACATTGTTCCTTCAGATCAATGAAATTCTGTGTGTAAGCAGTGAATGATAATCTAATAGGAAAAAGTATTAACATAATTTTGAATTATTCTTTATTCTTCAGTCATTTGGCTTATTGCATATTCCTTTGTGTAGTTATTTGATTACAGGATGTTAGTTCTTATTGACAAATGAATATACAAACCTTATTTCATAAAGTATGTTTTGGATTTTCAACTCTCAGATATCAAAAAACAGGGCCTTCAGTTCAGCTATTATTATTAGACACACCTGAATGGAAAACATAGGGCCTAACTTAAATTAACATTTATTGTAAGCAGGAAGATAATAAATTTGGAACTTACTATTTGCTATCAAAATTAATTAGCAGAATTTAGTATTTGGGTTAAAACTATAAAATAAACTGATATTTAAAGGAACATACACCATTTTAACAGTATATCTAAAGTATTTTTTTACTGGAAGAGATAGATTATTAGTAAACCTTCTAGAGGTAAACTTTGAAGAGTTTATAGGCTTTTATAAGAGGAGTAATTACTTTTTCTGTTTTGTGTATAGTAGGATCTACTTAATAAATAATTCAGGGCAATACCTATGTTGGCCACTTCATAACTAGCATAAAATTCACTGCATGTTTGTTTAAGCTTATTTTACTATATCAGTGTAATTTAATTACTTATTTGATATGGTAGTAATAGTGCTTTTATTAAGCCAATATTTTTCAATTAAATTTTTTGCCTGATTTTTTTTTTTAATTCCCTCTCTTTTTTTGGAAAGAATTTAAGGTAGAGAACTTGAGAGGAAAGGGGAAATACTTTTTATTTTTGTTTGTTCTCTTCCTTTGTAAATTGAGATATCTGTGCCATGTACTTTATTCCAATTGATCTCTATATGGAAACCATCTAACAATCATTTATCACTGTGGTTCCTAAAATTCACTAAGATTGGTATTCATTTTACTTATTAATTTGAATGCATTCACAATAGTTACAGAGGGAACAGGTAGCAAAAAAACTGTTTTCATTTTGATATTTTCCCACTTTTTTTAATAGAGAAGAAGTTCGTGCCCCAATTCCTCAAAAGCAGGAAATATTGGTAGAACCAGAACCTTTGTTTGGTGGTAAGTTTCCCTTTTTTCCTTAGTTTTGTTTGATTTTGTTGTTGTTTCTAGGATTTTAATGAAGCAATCAAAAGATGTGAAGGCTTGCTCAGATTGTTACTTCAAGTATAGAGTCAATTCTTATCTTGTAATTCTCTATTCTTCTCAGGAAAGTTGTACAATTGATCTTTCCAAGGAATTAACCAGATTAAAACATTGATATTTGTTACAGGAAGCCAAAGGGAGTAAAATTAGCAAAAAGAACTGCTGCCTTATAATGGAAACCAGTCAGTCTCTCATTAAAGATGCCAATTATTTTATGTTCTGGATATCTACCTGACTGTCATAATCTTACTGTCTTGATATGCCTTACATTCACTCTTTCTTAATTTCTAGACAAGCTATTCCTATTTTGAACAAAGGAGAAATGATACCTTATCCATGTAAAAAAAATTATATCTATCTGGGTGCAAAGAAAATATGGTAGAAAATAGGATGTTTAACCAGATTTAAAGAAAATTTATAGTTTTAGTCTCATAAACACTTATTTACCTTCTGTGAGCCAAATATTGTAGACATTAAAAGGTATATTAAAAAATTGAAGATAAAGTAATCTAGTTGGGTAGACAAATGCATAGAAATCTATATAGTACATACTGAGGACAGTAATGCAGAGAAATAGGCCTATGAAAAGTTTTATAGCTAAACTAGACTAAAGGAGAACAAAGTAGTAAGACAGGGATGAAGAAAAGCATATAAACCATATCTTTTTAAACATTGAATTTATTGGGGTGACATTGGTTAATAAAATTAAAGGTTTCAGGCGTACAGTTCTATAATACATCATCTGTATATTATATTGTGTGTTTACCACCCCAAGTCAAGTCTCTTTACATCACCACTTATCCCCCCTTTACCCTCTCCTGTCTCTCCCCATCATCCGTCTATGAAGGTTGTTTTGTTTTGTTTTTTACTTAATCCTTTTTTACTTAAACCTTTTTCACCCAAACCCCTGCTCCCTCCCCTCTACAGTTGTCAGTCTGTTCTCTGTATCTATGAGTCTGTTTCTCTTTTGTTCGTTAGTTTTGTATAAACCATATCATTTTTTTAAAAACATGTTTTTCATTGATTTTAGAGGGAGAGGAAGGAAGAGGGCAAGAGAGAAACATCAATGTGAGAGAGAAACATACATCGATTCATTGCCTCCTGCAAGCCCCCCACTGGGAATCCGAGTGAGCATCCTGGGTTATGAGCGCTGACCTGGAATCCATCCTGCGACCTTTTGGTGCATGGGATGCTGCCCAAACACCTGGACCAAACAGGCCAGGGCCATATCTTTTGATTTGAAAAAGCACCCTAGTTGAGAGGTGGTTTTTTTTTTTAAAGATTGATCTTTAACTTTGGAGTTTACTGTAGCAAGAAATAAAGTAATATACTGTTTCAATTCAGAAATAGAGATGGAAGGAAGAAAATGATAAGATCTGAATATTGAAGTATAATATGTGCTTTCTGTGTTGATTTAGCCATTGTGTTGTTAATATTCCAGAATAAAGCAAGTAATAATTTTTAAAAATATAAATGTTATGAATAGATTTTTAGAGCCAAGGAGTAATACCTTGGGAACTTTATCTTTTCTTTATTGCAAGGAAGAAGGCGAGATCTTTGAGTGGAGAAACACGACAGGAAATAGATTTTGTGCTGTTTATTATTGAACAGAGGCAAAAGAGTTCCCATTTGAAATCTCACTTTCCTCCTTTTATTTCTGGTTTGATATACATTAGGAAGAGGATGAGAATGACTTTATACAATTAGGAATTCAGTCTGAACTGTTACTATTGTTCCTTATTATAACTTAAGGAAGGTCTTCAGAGAATTATTTCTTTTTAGGACAGTATTAATTTAAAGTGTGATTTTTTTTAAAAAAAAAATATTTTTTATTGATTTCAGAGAGGACCTTAGGGAGAGAGAGAGATAGAAACATCAATGATGAGAGAGAATCATCCTCCTGCATGCCCCCACTGGGGATCAAGCCCACAACCCTGGCATTTGCCCAGACGGGGAATTGAACTGTGACCTCCTGGTTCATAGGTTGATGCTCAACCACTGAGTCACACCAGCTGGGTTAAAGTGTGATTCTTAAAGTGTAGTCAAGGGTTTCCAATACCTTTTCAGGGTGTCTGTAAGATCAAAACTATTATTCATATAATGCTAAGAAGTTACTTGCTTTTTTCACTGTGTTGATATTTGGATTGATGGCTCAAAAGTAATGATGGGTCAAACTGCTGCATCTTAATTAAATCAGGCTAGTGGCACCAAACTGTACTACTTACTACTCATTGAATTCTTCACTGCCACACACTTGCAGTTTTTAAAAAAAAGACAATTTTGTTTAATATCTTGAAGCAGTAAAAATTAATTTCATTTAATCTTAACCCTTGAATACATGTTTTTTAAACTATTCTGTTTGATGAAATAGGATGTGTGCACAAAACACTTCTGCATATTGAAATACTGTGGTTTTAAGGAAAAGTTTTTAATACAGTTGTTTGAGTTGCAAGCTAAACTAGCTGCTTTTTTCATGGGACATTACTTTTACTTGATTGCTGACAAACTGGTATTTTTTTTTTTTGTTAATCCTCAGCAAGGATATTTTTTCCATTGATTTTTTAGAGGGAGTGGGGGAAGAAACATCATCATGAGAGAGACATATTGATTGGTTGCCTCCCATTTGTGCCCTCACTGGGGCTGGGTATTGAACCTGCAACTGAGGTACGTGCCCTTGACCTGGAGTTAAACCCACGACCGTTCAGTACTCTGGCCAATGCTCTAACCACTGACCCAAATGGTCCAGGGCAACATTTTTAATTTTTTGAGGAGCCTCCATACTGGTGCATCAATCTGCATTCCCACCAACAGTGCATGAGGGTTCCCTTTTCTCCACATCCTTGCCAACACTTGCTGTTGGTGGATGTATTGATAGCCATTCTTACAAGTGTGAGGTGATATATCATTACTAAAGGCCCGGTGCACAAAAATGTGTGCACTCCGGGGGGTCCCTCAGCCTGGCCTGTGCCTTCTTGCTGTCTGGGATCCCTCGGGGGATGTCCACCTGCTGGCTTAGGCCCGCTCACCAGGGGATCGGGCCTAAGCTGGCAGTCAGACATTCCTCTGGCAGCTCGGGAGCCCTTGGGGGATGTCCACTTGCCAGCGGGGAGCAGGCCAAAGCTGCAGTCGGACATCCTTAGCGCTGCTGAGGAGGCGGGAGAGGCTCTCACCACCACTGCTGTGCTGGCAGCCGTCAGCCTGGCTTGTGGCTGAGCAGAGCTCCACCTGTGGGAGCGCACTGACCACCAGGGGGCATCTCCTGCATTGAGCGTCTGCCCCCTGGTGGTCAGTGTGTGTCATAGTGACCAGTCATTCCAAGTCATTCAGCAGTTAGGGTCAATTTGCATATTATCCTTTTATTATATAGGATAGAGGCCTGGTGCACGGGTGGGGGCTGGCTGGTTTGCCCTGAAGGGTGTCCCAGATCAGGGGGGGGGGGGCCCCTCTGGGGTGCCTGGCCAGCCTGGGTGAGGGGCTGGTGGCTGTTTGCAGGCAGGCCAAGACCCCCAGTGGGGACCCTCATCCCATGCGGGTGTGGCCAGCCTGGGTGAGGGGCTGAGGGCTGTGTTCAGGCTGGCCACACCCCCTTCAGGGTGGGGATCCCTACTGGGGTTCCTGGCCAGCCTGGGTGAGGGGTTGAGGGCCGTTTTCAGGCTGGCCACACCTCCTTCAGGGTGGGGGTCCCCACTGGGGTGCCTGGCCAGCCTGGGTGAGGGGCTGATGGCCGTTTTGAGGGTGGCCATGCCCCCCAGCGACCCAAGCTCCCAGACTCTCCTTTTTTTCTTTTTTCCTTTATTTCTGGGATTTATTTGTTTTCTATAATTGAAACTTTGTAGCCTTGAGCGGAGCTGAGGGCCAGCCAGGGCAGGTGGGAAGCTTGGCTTCCTCCATCGCCTGGGCCAACCCAAGCCTTCTGCTCACTCCAGGTCCGTGGCTGCAGCCATCTTAGTTGAGTTAAATTGCATACTCACTCCTGATTGACTGGTGGGCGTGTCTTGAGTGTAGCGGAAGGATGGTTAATTTGCATGTTTCTCTTTTATTATATAGGATGGTTTCAATTTGCATTTCTCTGACAGTTAGTGACATTGAGTATCTTTTCATATGTCTGTGGTTCATCTGTATGTCTTTTTTGGAGAAGTATCTTATCTATCCAGGTCCTCTGCCTTTTTAAAAAAAAATATTCTTTTTCAGAGATGAAGGGAGAGGAAAGGGGGATAGAGATAGAAACATCAACGATGAGAATCACTGATCGGCTGCCTCCTGCATGCCCCTCAGTGGGGATCGAGCCCACAAGCCAGGCACATGCCCCTGATCAGAATCAAACCCGGGACCCTTCAGTCCGCACGCCGGTGCTCTATCCACTGAGCCCTCTATCCACTGGGCCAAACCAGCCAGGGCATCCTCTGCCATTTTTTAATTGGATTGTTTGGGGGTTTTTTTTGGTGTTGAGTTGCATGAGTCCTTCATAAATTTTGGATATTAACCCTTTATCAGATGTACCATTGACAAATTGCTTCTCCCATTTAGTAGATTGACTTTTTGTTTTGTTGATGGTTTCCTTTGCTGTGCAAAACCTTTTTAGTTTGATATAGTCCATTTGTTTATTTTTTTTCCTTTGGACAGACTATGGTTATTTAGATTTAGGCATTGGACAGACATTTTTAAAAATATAAACAAAGCCTGTTATTGCTTCAAGGCAAACAACTGATATTATTTGTTACCAGTAATTTTTTTTAAAAAGCTTCAAGCAGAGCCCTGGCCGGTTTGGTTCAGTGGTTAGAGCAGGGGGTCCTCAAACTTTTTAAACAGGGGGCCAATTCACTGTCCCTCAGACCGTTGGAGGGCCGGACTATAGTTTAAAAAAAAACTATGAACAAATTCCTGTGCACACTGCACATATCTTATTTTGAAGTAAAAAAACAAAATGGGAACAAATACAATATTTGTATTTGCATGTGGCCCGCGGGCCGTAGTTTGAGGACCCCTGGGTTAGAGCGTTAGTCTGAAGCGTCTTGGGTTTGATTTCTGATCAAAGACATGTCTCTTGGTTGCAAGTTTGATCCCCAGCCCCAGTTGGGACACGTGCGGGGGACAACCAATCAGTATGTCTCTCTCACATTGATATTTCTTCCTCTCTCTCTCTCCTTCCCTCCCTCCCTTCTTCCTCCTCCCTCCCTTCCACTCTTTCTCTAAAGATCAATGGAGCCCTAACCGGTTTGGCTCAGTGGATAGGGCGTCGGCCTGCGGACTCAAGGATCCCAGGTTCGATTCCGGTCAAGGGTATGTACCTTGGTTGCGGGCACATCCCCAGTAGGGAGTGTGCAGGAGGCAGCTGATCAGTGTTTCTCTCTCATCGATGTTTCTAACTCTCTATCCCTCTCCCTTCCTCTCTGTAAAAATTCAATAAAATATATTTTAAAAAAAATAAAGATCAATGGAAAAAATATCCTCAGTTGAGGTTTTTTTTTTAAGTTTTCAATCAGAAATTGTAATTTAGAAAGTTTATATCCATGATTGTGAGCTTAATAGTGCCTCGCTTTTTAAAAGACTTTCTGATGAGATTATTGGTGACATTAAAATGGTGATTTTTAAAATATTGCATAAAGAAATGGTTAATATTTGAATTGTTTGCATAACTCAGTGAACATATTTAATTTTTAATTTTTTTGTTAATCCTCACCTGAGGATATTTTGTCATTGATTTTTAGAGTGGAAGAGAGAGGTTAAGACAGAGAGAAACATCGATGTGAGAGAAGCACATCGATTAGTTGCCTCCTGCATGGGCTGGGGAGGAGCCTCTAACCAAGGTATGTGCTCTTGACCAGAATCAAACCCAGGACCCTTCAGTCCATAGGCCGACGCTCTTATCCACTGAACCAAACCGGCTAGGACTGAACAGATAATTCCAAAAGATCAATACATGATGTTATAAAACTGTACATAGGCAAAAGATCTACTCATATTGGATTGCATATGTATATAGACAGATTAGATATCTACTGCTGTGTAATAAATTGTTCCAAAATTTAGCATTCTGAAACAACAAACGTTTGTTATTTCTCAGTTTCTATGGGTTAGGAATCCAGGTGTAGCTTAACCAGGTGCCTTTGGTTAGTGTCTTTTCACAGGGTATAATCAAGGTATCAGACTGAGCTACACTCATCTCATAGCTTGAATAGAGAAAGACCTCTCTTTCTGAGCCCACTCATGTGGCTGTTGGTTGGTTGAAGACATCAGGTCCCTATCAAAGAACAAATGAGAGAGCCAGAGAGGGCTTCCCAAATGGAAGCCACCACCATCTTTTTAAATCTAATCTTGGAAGTGACATACCATCCAATCCTATCACCTCTGCCACATTCTATTTGATCCTGCTCATACTCAGGATATCCACACACAGGTTATGAATATCAGGAGATAGAGATAATTGGGAGCAGTCTTAGAGACTGCCTACTCCATAGGCCTATGGACTTTAATGGAGCAGATATGAAAAGTTCATTAATGAGATATCAGATTCTAAATTGCAACCACTGGTTGAATGTTGGTGTAGAATCAGAAGAATTATATTAAAACACTTTTAAAATATTCCTTTTTACAATTACATGTCTATGCAAGGTTGAATTTTAATTTTCTTCATATACTTTAAAGGAATAGCAGCAGATTGCAGAATAGAATGCAGAAGGACATCCAAAAATTCAGATATCTTCTTTTAAGCCAGTTATTAACAGATTTGTGAAAATGGGAAACAGTGGCACTCTTCTCACTAAATTTTTTTCTTCACCTGCCCCAGTCTCCTAAATATGAAGCTCCTTTCAGCTCTTTTAGCTCTTTGTAGGTTAGTCTCTTTAGCCTCAGTGACCAGCACTCTTATTATGTAGGCAGCAAAGTGAGAGTACATAGGACTGATGTTTACTTTATAGCAGATGGTCTGGAAGAGCCAGGAAACCACATACTGAAGAGGCAGACAAGAGTAATGGTTGTAGGACTAGAGTTATTGTGGCCTTGGGAGTTTCTTGGTTAGACTTAGGATAAATAAGGGGGAAACAGGTTATGAGCCTAAGAAATAAAAGGGGTTGGGTAGAAAACTAGCAATAAGAGGAACTAGTGAGAATCCCTCCTAGTGAGAACTAGGAGATCTAGAGCCTGAGAAAGAGGAGCTAAATTGAAGGTGGGTGGTATGGGGGAAAAAGAGAGAGTGGGAGAGGAGGGAAGGAGGCTTGCCATGAAATACTAGTCAGGAGAGAGAGAGAGAGAGAGAGAGAGAGACTATTGATCGGCCTGCTTTTGCCAATTTAAAAGTAGAAGAAAACTACCTTCATGTACTACCTTACCAATAGTAGGGTGCTGTCTTAGGTAGTTATTCCTAAGATACTCTTACTTCCTTAATTATGCTTAAAATGTGTCTGATAATGCGTTTTAAGAAGGCATTCTTGAGAGAATATATTATTCCTGCTAGAAACATATATTTGACATAGGACCTCTTGATCAAAAATAATTTCAAGATTGAAAAGAATGACATTCCTTGATTCTTTATAAAGTAAGGGAGGGAGGGAAAAATAATGCAATATTTAAATTTTTAAAAATTCCATTTAAATAAATGTAATACAACTAAAATTCAATTTAAATTAAAAAATTCAATATAAAACTAAAACATGAAAGTTTCTTTTTTTTTTTTTTTTAACCAAATCCCTTTGCTAGAGATTTTGGGCTTTTTTTTTTTTTTTTTGTTAATCCCCCCCCGAGGATTTTTTTTTTTTTTTTTTTCTTTGTAAGAGAGAGGGAAAGACAGAGAGAAACATCGATGTGAGAGAAACACATCGATTGGTTGCCTCCTGCACGCGCTCCGACCAGGGCCCTGATCGGGAAGGACCCTGCAACCAAGGTATGTGTCCTTGACCCTTTGGCCCACAGACTAACACTATCCACTGAGCCAAACCGGCTAGGGCGAGATATGGTGCTTTTTAAATATAAATACTGATATATGTACGTGCTTAAATGATATACAGCCTGATAATGCTTTAAAGGAAAATGAGATTTTTAATGTGTGGTTCTGTATTTTTGTTTTGTTTGTTTATTTCTCAATAGTTCTTAGATAGAAAGAATTATCCTATATGATAGCAAACACAGGTTGTTGGGAAAGAAGCTTTGACATGGGATAGGGAACTTGTATACTTTCTATCTAATCTTACTACTAATCATCATTAATTAACATGGAACATTGTTCTGGTTACATGTTGGCCAGGAATGCGATAAGCCAACAATGACTATTACCCATATTGAGAGAGTCATTAAATGTCCTTATTTATTGTAATGTATACAAATGATCTGGTAAATTTTTTTTAGGTTTGAGGACACATATAGGAAGATAACATTTTGACTATTGCTTTTTAGACTTCACCTGTAAAATACAGAGGTATCAGAAGATGGTTCTACTTGCTTTTCTGTTACTAAATCATTGTGTAACTGCAGGGAAACATTTTTCTTCCAAAATTAAATGTTTTGGGTATTTATAATTTTACATGTATACCCATTTACTAAGTAGTTTTCAAGTATTATTATTTAGAACTTAGTTACTCACGTGTTATACCAAAGGGTAGTCAGATCCCTTAGGTCAGCAATTTTCAACCTTGTTTATCTCATGGCACACATAAACTGATTACTAAAATTCTGTGGTGCACCAAAAAATATATTTTTTGCCGATCTGACAAAAAAATAAGTATAGTTTGATTCACACTGGATGGCTATTGTGTTGGCTGTTGTCATTTTTTTGTTTTAAATATATTTTTTCTGGTTTCAGAAAGGAAGGGAGAGGGAGAGATAGAAACATCAGTGATGAGAAAGAATCATTGATTGGCTGCCTCCTGCATGCCCCCTACTGGGGATCGAGCATGTGTCCTGATGGGGATTCGAATTGTGACCTCCTGGTTCATAGATTGACACTCAACCACTGAGCCATACCAAGTGGGCTATTGTCTTTTTTTTTTTTTTTGTAATTTTCACCCTAGGATATTTTTCCCATTGATTTATTTTTAATATTTTTTAGAGAGAGTAGAAGGGAGGGGGAGAGACAGAGAGAGAGAAAAAAAAACATGGATGAGAGAGAGACACATAGATTGGTTACCTCCCACACACGCCCCGACCAGTGATGGGATCAAGCCTGCAACCGAGGTACATGCCCCTGCTTGGAATCAAACCTGAGATCCTTCAGTCCAAGGTCCAACACTCTAATCGCTGAGCAAAACCGGCTAGGGCTATTGTTATCGTTTGACAATCTAAGGGAAAAGAGGTTAGTGCCCCTCACTAAATAGTCAGGCATTGCATGTTTTAAAAATTCTTGTGACACACTGGTTGAAAATCACTGCCTTAGGCTAACCTGAATTAGATATTGGCAACATTTGTAACTTCATTTCCATGGGAGTCATCCGCAAAATCTTCTTTCTTCTTGTCTTTTACACAGGTTTGGTCAAGTCTCTTTAACAGGACCTTAATTTTCTCATTTGTAAAACAAAATCATTGGGCTGAAGATGGTTGAGTTAATTCTGTATGAATTATTTGAAGGTTTTTAAAACACTTCAGTTTTTTTGAAGGGGGATACCATTATGAATCTATGAGTGTTTTAAACAAATATGTATAGATAAGGAAGTTTTTAGAATTGTTTCAAAATTAATGTTTAAATTTTTGTATAATTCTATTTTTACCCCTTAAAGCTCCTAAAAGACGGCGGCCTGCACGTTCAATATTTGATGGTTTTCGGGATTTTCAAACTGAAACTAGTAGGTATCTATGAATCAGTTTATTCTCCCTCTGTCTGTCTCTCTCCTTGTCTTTCCCTCCTTTCCTTTTCCCTCTCCCACGCATAAAACCACAATGTGGAAAAGTTCCTATACACTCCCTAACAGGTCAAGTTCTTAGTTTCATTTATATACTTTTTTTTTTTAATTTTAGGGAGAGAGAGATGAAAACATCAATGATGAGAGAGAATCATTGATTGGCTGCCTCCTGCTCACCCCCTACTGGGGATTGAGCCCACAACCCAGGCATGTGCCCTTGATTGGAATCGAACCCAGGACCCTTCAGTTCGCAGGCTGACACTTTATCCACTGAGCCAAACTGGCTAGTCTATGTACTTTTTCTTAAAAAGAAAAAGATGATTAATATGAGGTCTAATTACTTTGAAGAATCACCTTATTTTAAAAGTAAAATTATGAATTCAGTCTGTGATTGTTTCTCCAGAACTGATTTGTTTTAAATTTTAAACTACTTGGTGATGGAAGAAGAATAAGAAAGATGGAGATAATGTAAAAATTTAGGTAATTTACAAACTTAATGAGCTTTTGAATAAGCACTCAAATACTGACTATAATAAAGTAAAAAACCGATTACCCTCAAGATTCTAGTATCTGTCAATGAACACAATGGGGAATTGAAAAATAGAAGAAAAAGCCACACCCAAAGCAGCCAGTATTAACATTTTGGCTACAGTTGTTTAAAATAGGTTTATATATTTCTGTGGAGTAAGTTAGAATGAGAATCTTGACTTTACACTTTTAGAGGAATTAGTACTGATTTAGCAATGGAACTGTAAAGGAAAGGACAGTTACGTTTGAGAGAATATATGAGAAATTCTTGGACCATGTTTGATTTTATAGTTGATTTATAATGAGCTCATTGAAGCACAAGTAGGTCTCGTAACTTTGGAGAGTGTTGAAGGGGAACCCAAACTGACTCAGGTTATCCAGGGAATCCTGTACCCTGCCAGGAGAGGGTGATAGCAGTGGTCATTCTTGCTATTACCAGAAACTTTGAAGATTGGGAATATAGCTGGAAACTACAGGTAAATTAAGATTACTTTTAGAACTAGATAAATGGAGTTGAAAGTTTTCTCCTATACTAAAGTTAGTTTTGAATATGTGAAGGAAATATTTTGATTGTGAGACTAATATAAATTTCTGCTTTTATTCTTATTTTTTGGAAGAAAGCCACCACTAAGTTTTAAGACTCCCTCCCTACCTTGCTTTGTATTTTTTTCAGAATTAGCATTTTATATTTGCATTTTGAGGTCAAGCACATTGTTCAGTAATTCTTGCAATTGATACATGTTTTTTATATTGTTAGATTTGTTCCTTTTATGGTTAGTTGAAACTTCCTCATCCTTCTGTGTTTCAGTTCGGCAAGAACAAGAGTTAAGAAATGGAGGAGCCATAGATAAGAAACTAACTACCCTGGCAGATCTGTTCCGGCCACCCATTGATTTGATGCATAAAGGCAGCTTTGAAACAGTAAGTAGTTGGAAATTCTAAGCTCTAGTTATGAATTCTTCTGCGTTTTCAATGCCATTTTTTTTTTCTTTCTAAGAGAAAAAAAAGTTTTCAGCATACTGTATAGAGAATTGGCATCCTAATAAGTATAACATGAGAGATACCTAAAAGGTTACATTAATTTATGTTTGTATCAGCAGTATATGAGATTGCTTAATGAAAGCATTTTATTACCCTGTGTGATGGTATTTTAGAATCTATGCCATTTTGATAGTTCTTTTATTATCTTACTTTTTTTTTTTTAATTAAATCTTTATTTGTCCAGTCTCTTCCTGCATCTCCCATTTCCCTTTCCCCCCCAAGAATAGTCAGTCCATTCCCTTTCTATGTCCCTGATTCATTATAATCACCAGTTCATTCTGTACATCAGATTATTTATTCACTTGGTTCTTAGATTCACTTGTTGATAGATGCATGTTTGTTGTTCACAATTTGTATCTTTACCTTTTTCTTCTTCCTCTTCTTAAAGGATACCTTTCAGCATTTCGTATAATACTGGTTTAGTGGTGATGAACTCCTTTAGCTTTTCCTTATCTGTGAAGCTCTTTATCTGACCTTCAATTCTGAATGATAGCTTTGCTGGATAAAGTAATCTTGGTTGTAGGTTCTTGGTATTCATCACTTTGAATATTTCTTGCCATTCCCTTCTGGCCTGCCAAGTTTCTGTTGAGAAATCAGCTGACAGTCGTATGGGTATTCCCTTGTAGGTAATTGAGTCTCTTTCTCTTGCTGCTTTTAAGATTCTCTCTTTGTCTTTTGCTCTTGGCATTTTAATTATGATGTGTCTTGGTGTGGTCCTCTTTGGATTCCTTTTGTTTGGGGTTCTCTGCGCTTCTTGGACCTGTAAGTCCATTTCTTTCACCAGGTGGGGGAAGTTTTCTGCCATTATTTCTTCAAATAGGTTTTCAATATCTTGCTGTCTCTCATCTTCTGGCACCCCAATTATTCTGATGTTTGTACGCTTGAAGCTGTCCCAGAGGCTCCTTACACTATCTTCGTATTTTCGGATTCTTTTTTCATTTTGCTTTTCCGGTTGGGTGTTTTTTGCTTCTTCGCATTTCAAATCTTTGGCTTGATTCTTGCGCTCCTCTGGTCTGCTATTGGGTGTCTGTATAATATTCTTTATTTCAGTCCGTGTATGCTTAATTTCTAGTTGGTTCTTTATCATAGCATCGAGGGTCTCATTAGTTTTCGTGACTCTCTCCTCAAGTTTATTGACAGCTTCTAGCACATTTTTGCAAGCCCTCAAAATTGCGATTTTTAGCTCTATATCCTCCATTTCTGTCATGTTTTTTTGTCTCCGCATTTTTTATGCTTTCTTGGTGCACCCCCTAGTGGTCTTTGTGCGCAGTCTTGTTCTAGTTGAGCCTTGATTGTTGTAGTTAATACTAGAGGGATTTGACCACCAGGCCGACTGGCTGTGTGAATCAGCTGTGTCTGCCGCGGAAAACTTCTGTCCTCTGGGGAGGTGCTAATCTAGCCTTTGCCTGAGGCGATCTGGCAAATGGCTCTGCGCAGGGCTTGGGCGGGGCGGGCTCAACAGGGCGGGCGGGCGGAGGGAGCGGTTATGGCCCCTCTCAGTCCCGTTCCCAGAGGCTCTGCTTCTCAGAACCCCCGGAACCGCTGCAAACCTCGGAGGGAAAGCTGCCTTCCAACTGATGCCAGACACTCCCGCTTCTCCCGTTTGGGTCCGAGTCCCCAGCGATTCGCCCGTATCTGGAGCTCAGAGTCTGAGACTCCCCCCTGACCGAAAACGACAACCGCGCTCTCAGCCACCAGCCCGCTTTGCGCGCGCACCTCCGCACCTGAGTTTTTTCCACACTGCGCCTCCTCTGAGCCTCGGTGTGCTGTTATTTTTCCTTCTAGTTGAAGAGTCTCTCCTCAGCCAGCCTTCCTGTGGTTCTGGGTGATGTCCGTTCCGTCTTTTAGTTGTATTTTTGAAGTGGTTGTTTGCGGCAGCAGTCTCCGGTGTTTACCTATGCCGCCATCTTGGTCTCTCCTATTATCTTACTTTTTAAGTTTACATATCTTTGATTACTATTGAGAATAGTGTGCATGTGTTTGTTGGCTATTTGTGAATTGTTTGTAGGTATCTTTTGCCCACATTTCTAGGAGGTTCTTAGTGTATTTTAAAAAATATATATTTTTATTGATTTCAGGGAGGAAGGGAGAGGGGAAAGAGACATAGAAACATCAATGATGAGAGAGAATCATTGATTGGCTGCCTCCTGCACAACCCTTCAGTCTGTAGGCTGACACTCTATCCACTGAGCCAAACCAGCAAGGGCACAGTGTATTTTAAAAGAATATCTCTGTAGTTGCAGAATACATTCTGACTTACTTCTTGGCTTTAACTTGGTTAATGCCAAAGAAAAACTTCCCAGAGCAAGTTTATTTGATTATTTGCTGAATTATAAGCTTAACAAGGGCAGGGAGAATATGCATTGTTTTATTTTGGTAAATCTTGGGACCTAGTCTCTGGCATTTAATAGGACCTAGTATTTGTTAAATGACGGAATTTAGTTAGGATTTTAAATATTCTTCTGTTGAGGTTCAAACAGCTTGCTTTTGTGTATTGAGTAGCTTGTTAATGCTCTTTTGCATTAGAATGGCATTTGCATTGATGTAAATCAATTAGGTTTAAGATTAAGTCTTACCTGTTAGAATAAAGTAAGCCAAACAATAACCACAAAAATGATGTTGGTAGCTACAGCTATATATTTGAAAGTGAATTATGATTGTTTAAAAAAATTTTTTTTCCTTGACATACTCTTGACACTAGCCTAGATGAAGTATTTAGGGTAAGAAATTTAACCATAAGCTTGCTCTTCTGTTTTAATTTTCTGAATTGTAAAACCTGAAAGTGTTTGGCTGCATGTAACAGAAGATCCAAATGATGGTGATTTGACCAAACAAAGGTTTCTTTTGCCCAGCTGGTGTGGCTTAGTGGTTGAGCATCAACCCATGAATCAGGAGGTCATGGTTTGATTTCTGGTCAGGACACATGCCTAGGCTGCAGGCTCAACCCCCAGTGGAGGTGGGGGGGAGGGGCAGTACAGGAGGCAGCCGATCAATTATTCTCATCATTGATGTTTCTCTCTCTCTTTCCCTCTCCCTTCCTCTCTCTGAAATCAATGAAAACATCTTTTTTAAAAAGGGTTTCTTGCCCTAGCTGGTTTGGCTCAATGGATGGAGTGTCTGCGGACTAAAGGGTCCTGGGTTTGATTCTGGTCAAGGGTACTTACCTTGGTTACAGGCTCCCCCTTGGCCCGGGCCCTCAATGCAGCCAATCGATGTGTTTCTCTCACATCCATATTTCTCTCTGTCTTTCCCTCTCTCTTCCGCTCTCTCTCTCTCTCTCTAAAAAAAAAAATAAATAAATAAATAAAAAAGAAGATAAATGGAAAAAATATCCTCTGGTGAGGATTAAAAAAAAAAAAGAAGATTTCTTTTTGTCATCTAAAAAAGTCTAGAGTTGAGGGAGTCTTTGGTGTTTATCAGCTCACATATGTCAGGTTAGATACCTCCTCAGTTTTCTTCATCCTTCCCTCATGATCTTAACATGGCAGCTGCCTATACTTTCTAGTGTTCCAGGCGCTTGTCTGCCTATCCTTTCTAATGTTCTGGTGATAATATAGCCACTGAGAGAGAGTAGCAGCAATGTGAAAGACAAAAATGATCTGAGTTTGTTTTGACATGTTTTCCTTTTCATTAGCTTTTGAGTTGCTCTAGGGCTTAATAAATAACTCTGTGCTTGATTTAATCTTGTCACTTTGGGCTCATAAAAAGCAGTTACTCTGATGCTTGTTCATTGAAGTAAACCGAATCTTTTTTGAAATTGCTGTCTGATTTTTTGTTCATTTTTTTAAAGTTACATAACCTTTTTTCTTTGTATTTCATGACCTGCATTGTTTGCAATAATCTATTCATATCTTCACTAATACTAAAGTTTATCATTTATGAGTCTTTAAATGACATTAACACTCCCAGAAAAAAATAGGCATTTCGTTATAATTAATGATATATCTATTAGTTTTATATAAATTAGGGAGGTCACATGCAAAATTAAGTCATTGATGTTTAGAGAGGTGAATGTTAAAAATTATATGGACTCTCTTTGGTTGCTCTGGCAGGGCCCATAGGTTTGGGCACAATATTAGATGTAGCTCTGAGCCATAGTTTTACAGGTTTAGAAACTAGACTTTCTTAGTGTATCTAGAGGTAGACCATATTCAAAGGTTCTGAAGAGACTGATTAATTTACTTGTTCATTTAATATTTATCGAGGCCTCCTTTTGTAAGGCCTTGTTCTAGGTAATAGGGATTATATTTTTTGGGATAGCTTTTACTGCACGTGAGAGAGACCAGGAAGGAAACAAATAGTAGCTTAAACAAGAAAGAAGTCCAGGCTATTAGGATGGTTCTGCTCTGTGAAGTTACTAGCAGTGCAAGTTTTCTTTGTCTTTTTCTTCTATTTCCTAGGTCTTGCTTGCCTTTGTCCATATGATTCAAGGGGGCTTACCACCATGTTTGCTTTCTAGCCAGAATGAAGGAGGGAGGGGGCTGAGAAAGGTATACCTTTTCCCTTTAAAGGCACAACCTAGAAGTTGCTCACATCCCATTGACCAGAACTTGGTAATATGGTTACACCTACTGCAAGGGACGCTAGGAAATCCAGGTGCTTAGAAGAAAATGGATATCTGGAGCCTATAAGCAGTTTCTTCCCTTGGGAGATAGTGGTAAGCACATTACACAAAGTCCTTGCCATCAAAGATTTATAATCAAGAGGGAGAAACAGACTATAAACAAATAAAAATCAAATGTTTATACATATATGTAAAACGTTTCGTGTGTGTGTATGTATATACAATATAGAGAGATAGGGTGTAATTTCAGGTTATAGTATGTAGTGGGAGAAAATAAACAAAATAGAATAAGGGACCCAGTCGGCGTGGCTCAGTGGTTGATTCCCAGTCAGGGCACATGCCCAGGTTTCAGGCTGGATCCCTAGTGTGGGGTGTACAGGAAGGCCACCGATCAGTGATTCCTTTTCATTATTGATGTTTCTGTCTCTTTCTCCCTCTCCCTTCCCCTCTGAAATCAATAAAAAAATATTTTAAAAAATAGAATAAGGGAAGGAGAGGGCAATTTTTTTGTTTGTTTAGAGCCACTAAGATGCATGTATACTTAACAAGCAAAATTAAAAGCAGGGTTGATTTCATAGGTTTCACATATGTTTGTAACTGTGAGGAGAGAAGACTGTTTTAGATAGGAAGATCAAGGAAGATTCTGAAGGATGAGATTTGAGTAGAAACCTGAGTGAAGTGAAGGAATGTGAACCATAGGAATGTCAGGGAAACAGCAGATAGTAAGGCTAAAAAGGGTATATTTCTGGTACAGCCAAGGAATCAGTATAGCTGTAGCTGAGTGACCCACTTAGGATGAATGATCTGACCTAGGCAAGGGAACATGTAGCTTGTAAGTTCCATGAACATAGGAACTTTGTTTTATTTGTCATTGTATTCAATGCCTAGAAGAGCTTTTGGCACATAATTGGCCCTCAATAAATCTTTCTTAAATGATTGAATGGCATAATCTGGAGTATATGGTACAGAATCAGAATAATTTCCATAATAGTCCTTATTTTCATTATAAATGCATATTTATTTGTTATCATTTAATTCACATGTACTTAGTTGTAATTACTAAGAATACTTTGTTAATTTTAAAAGTCCTGCTAGTAAGTAAAAATATTTTAGCTAAAAATATAAAGAACCAATTCAGTAACAAAATATGTAAGATAAACTTTTTAAAAATAAACTTTATTCATAGCTTATATTTAGTTTTATTCAAAGTTGGCAAATATAGCAAACCAGTGGGGGGAAAAATAAAATCACAATTTCCATTAAAAAGTACTGTGCATATTTTAATATATTTTCATCTTGACTTTATGTATATCTATTATTGAAACAAATATCTTTTCCTTTGTATTTTTTAAAAATGTATTTTTATTGATTTCAGAGAGGAAGGGAGAGGGAAAGAAACATCAATGATGAGAGAGAATCACTGATCGGCTGCCTCCTGCACAACCCCCCACTTGGGATCATGCCCACAACCCCAGCATGTGCTCTTGAATTGGACCCAGGATCCTTCAGTCTGCAGGTCGATGCTGTATCCACTGAGCCAAACCAGCTAGGGCTATTCTTTTTTTCTTCTTACTTTACTGATCTGTCTGGGACTGGTAGAGATACTCTCTCACTGTTTCCCCCTTGAAACAGATAAGTCATATCACATATGTCTCTATTTGATGTAGCCACACTTGTCCTTGGGTCTTCATAAAATGGCTTTTGAATGTTGATCTGAACAGTCTAATAGATTTCAAGTGGGAAGGTTCATCATTTGTGTAAGACTCTCTTATATTCCCTCTAAACATTGTTGCTTTGCATAAAATTCATGTCTTTGGGCCTTTCCTTCCAGCAGTAATTTCTTAACAGCATCTTCAGTTTCTTGTACTGATTAATATAAGGTTTCTCCCCAGTGTATGCTTCATGAAGGCAGGGTTTTTTGTGTTTTGGTAACTGCTCTAATTCCAGCATCTATAGCTATACCTGAAACCTGATAGGTATCAGTAAGTTTATTTGTTGAATGAATGAATCTGAATTAAAGCATAAATGTGAATAAATGAGCTTTTAAAATCAAAAGCAAATGACTGTCCATCAGTTTTAAACTCTTGACTTTTTTTTCTTCTCCATGTTGTAGTTTTAGGCAGACTTATGTACATTTACCCTGTTACAGAAATGTGTGTTAAATTTTTCCCCTCTCCAATACTTTTTCTTCAGTTAAGGCATATAAGTATACATTTATCACTCATTTATCAAATCCATGTGCATGCTATAGGTAAGGAAGTAAGTTGAACACTTACTTTCTAGGAGTAAGGAATAATTTTATTATATTTATATATTCTAAAATAAGCTTTTCACCAGGTAATACAGCTTTCTGGCTCAATACAGGGATTCCTTTTTGAACTTGAGTTTTCACCTGTGGAATCAAAATTAAATATTAGAAAATGATTTTTTTCTGGAGGATTCATACCAAAAAATAGGATAACAGTTATCTGTAAGACTGTGTAAACCTTCTTAAAGCAGAAGATAGTCTTACATTGTCCAATACCTCCAAAATGATGTATGTTTTTCAACTGTTAACGACCTGAGTTAATTAAAGATCTGTGTTAATCTGGTATGGGAAATAATATTGTTCCAAGACAAAATTACTCAAAACTATCACTTTCATTTCATTGTTCCTATACAAAGGTTTAAGGAAACATTTGTTTGCTCATTTGCTTTTCTGCCAATCTTTGTATTCAGCAACGTTTTAGGTTTTTATGGTGATGACAAACTATTAGGCAAAAAGTACATACTCATGATTAATATTTGTGCTATAAATTGGGGTGGGGTCTTTTAAAAATCATTCTGAAACATTCTTTGATCCTATAATCTCATTTTTTGAAATCTCCTAGGAAAACAACCCTAAGAGAAAAAACCCTTAGCAGCTTTTACAGAAATATTTAGGGTGATCCTATAAAATAGTACATGCCTAATAGGGGTTGAGAGAGATAATGTGATAGAATTATGTGACTTGACCATAAGTTTGTATAATTTTTTTCAGATGTTTAAATGTACAAAAGTCCAGCCATTATAACAATAACAGTTTATTTAAATTTGAAAAATGCTTGAAAATGGTCAGTATAATTATATATATCTATGCAAATTAATGTAAATAATGTATATATACCAAAAACTCTAGATGTTATACTTGAGGGGAAAAACTTAGTAGTATTTAAATGAAAAGATAACAGTTTCTGAACTCTGAAACATATCAGTTACCAAGGAGAAATTATTTCTAACAGGTGTTGTGTAACTTTACTCTTATAGGCCAAAGAGTGTGGGCAGATGCAAAATAAGTGGCTGATGATAAACATCCAAAATGTACAAGACTTTGCATGCCAGTGCCTCAACCGTGATGTATGGAGCAATGATGCTGTGAAGAATATTATCCGGGAACATTTCATTTTCTGGCAGGTGAGGAGAGTTAAAGTTTTAGTAGCATTTTACTTTTGTAGTATGGGATGTTGAGAAGGAGGAATTCAGTAATAAACTGGAAAAATTTTAATAACTGAGTTAAATTATGATATATGAAAAGGTAAAACCAACCCATAATGGCTGAAATAGTAAGGACAAGTGAAAATTAGGGCAGCAATGGAGAACTCTCGAGGGAAGGAAAGAAAGAACCAAGCTGCGTAACTATATAATATTCATATCTCAGATGAGCTTAAATATCTTGATAGAGTTCACAACTGTACTATTCAATCCTGTATAATAAAAGGCTAATATGCAATTGACTGAATGGTGGAGCAACCGGTTGCTGTGACATGCACTGACCACCAAGGGACAGACGCTTAATGCAGGAGCTGCCCCTTGGTGGTCAGTGCACTCCCACAGGGGGAGCGCCTCTCAACCAGAAGCCGGGCTCACGGCTGGCGAGTGCAGTGGCGGTGGCGGGAGCCTCTGCCTTCAGTTGGACATCCCCCAAGGGCTGCAAGAGGGCTGCAGACCAGGCTGAGGGACCCCGCCCCCGAGTACACGAATTTCGTGCACTGGGTCTCTAGTTCTATATAATAAAACCCTAATATGCAAATCGACTGGTCACTATGATGTGCACTGACCACCAGGGGGCAGATGCTCAATTCAGGAGCTGCCCCCTGGTGGTCAGTGTGCTCCCATGGGGAGCGCCACTTAGCCAGAAGCCGGGCTCACCGCTGGCGAGCGCAGTGGCAGTGGCAGTGGCAGTGGCAGGAGGTAAGGAGCACGGGGTCCCAGACTGCTAGAGACCCGGACTGCGAGAGGGATGTCTGACTGCCAGCAGGGGTCCCAGTCTCCCTTGCAGTTAGGATACAGGCATGTGACCTAAAACCTGGGTTTAGAAGTAAACAATGTGAATACGTAGCAGTGAGGGGGGAACTGATTTAGCAAGCCCCAGTGCATGAATCTTGTGCACCAGGCCTCTAGTAGGAATATAATGTGAGCCACATATTTAATTAAAAATGCTCTAGTAGCCACATTTTAAAAGGTCAAAAGAAACAGGTGAAATTAATTTTAATGTTTTAAAATCAATATATCTAATATCAAACTAATATTAAAATCTTAATGAAATGTTTTGATTTTTGTGTGTGTATGTGTGAAGTCTCCAAGATGTGATGTGTGTATATTTTATACGTACGGAACCGCTCAGTTCAGACCAGCCATGTTTCAAGTACTTCAATAACACATGTATTGGTTGTTATAATTGACAGTGTGAATGTAGAAGATCTTGAGTAATGGAAAAACATTTGACTAAGATTTGGATTTTAGCTTGAGTTTTATACTTTTTATGTATATTTCTTAGTATTGTCACTTAATCTTGCTGATTCTGTTTTCTTTTTATGTAAATTATCAAGCTAAGGTTAGATAATCTTGTTCAAATTTTTTATTTTTTTTATGAAAAATTATAGAAAATAAAAACATCTGACTGAACTTAATTTTTTCCACTATAAGATATGCTGTTAATGTTATTAATTTATTCATTCATGTTTTACAGGTCCCCTAAATTCAGTATTTTTTCTGAATGGTAAACTTTTCTTCTACAACTATTTTTTTTAATATGTTTTTATTGATTTTTTTTTTTTAAAGAGAGAGAGTGGAAGGGAGAGGGGTAGAGAGATAGAAACATCAATGAGAGAGGAGCATCATCGTTTGGCTGCCTCCTGCACACTCCCTACTGGGGATAGAGCCCACAACCTGGGCATGTGCCCTATCGGGTAATTGAATCAGTGATCTGTTGGTTCTGGGTCAACACTCAACTGCCGAGCCACACAAGCTGGGCTCTTCCGCAACTATTGGTTGAGCATCTCTTTGACTAGCACTATGCTAGCCACTCAAGCTTATCATCTCAATATGTAGTGACTTATTAAGATGTATATGATAGAGTTTGGAATAATATAGGTGGACAGATAACTTGATCAGAAAGAGCAATATCTCTTCTGAACTGGAAAGGGAGGAAAAATGGATTGATATATGTTTCCATGGGGGCTGAGGACAGGAAGTTGAGGTAGTTCACACCAGATTACCTTCATTTTTCTCTTTAATGTAGGAATGAATCCTAACATATACTAAAGGTGTATTTGGAGAATTGTTGTTGGTATATAACAAGGATACAGTTGATACTTTTTTAGAGGTTGACTTTTTTTTATATCAATGATTTAACAGGTTTATCATGACAGTGAGGAAGGTCAGAGATACATACAATTTTATAAGCTAGGGGATTTCCCCTATGTTTCCATCTTGGATCCACGGACAGGTAATATTTATTTTATATCAGCTTACAGCAATTGACATATGACTTATTTTTCAATTACCTAAATATTTGATCTTTAATATTTGACTGGATTCAGTTTCAGAATTCTTTGTAATAATTTAGGTGAAGGGTTTTTATTCATGTCCTTTAGAATTATTTAAACATCTATTAAAATATGTTAGGGAGTCAGTCTGTTTCTGACAATTTGGGGAAATGATTGTATTTTATATTTGTGCAGCTCTGTACTTTCTAAAACTAATATTTTATCTTGTCATATTTTAAGGGGTCCCCTTGGGTTTTCTGTTATTAAAATATTAAGATTGTTCAGGTACTGGTTGTAATCCCACCAGAGAAGCAGAGGGTAGAACTGGTTTTATTATTAATGAATTTTTATCAAGATTTTGCTTCGTTTGAATCTCTTCTTTCTAAATGCCAATAAATGATATTAGCAGATAAAGAAGTTGCCAGTTGGCTAGGAATCTTAGGTTGGCTATAATTGATGAATTCTTTGGGTTATGAAAACGCTATGTAATTTAAACTGGTGAAGGGTGGGTGAAAGGTTAACGTGGTGGTACTTGGGCAGGCTAAGTAGCCATCTCAGATAGTGGATAAAGACAAATTGAATTTATTTAAGAAAAGGGGTGGGGGAAGGATATCCAAAGGGAAGGGCTGCATAGCACTGAGCCAAGGAGATATTGGGTGATGATGTCTGCCCCAGGAGCTGGAGTTTCATCGTTATATGCAGTCACTGGTGGGAAGCTCTTGTCGTCAGTGTGTGTGGGCTGAGTTGGTGGGCTTGGAATGTGGATATGCAATCAGGCGTTTTTAGGACAGTTTTAATTCCTTATATAGTCTGATTCCTGGTGTCCAGCAAATTTTCCTGGTCTTTGTCCTCCTGAGGCGGGAAGCTTGGACAAGTTCTTGGTCTTTGTTTTCCTGTGGCAGGAAGCTTACAAATGGCCATTAAGGACTATATTGCCCTGAGTCCTAACAGTGGGAATATGTGTTCCTAAAATTTTAATTATGCAAATGCCAAAAAAATACTTAATGAGAATGTTGAGAAGGCATGTTGATTTTATTATATTTATATATGACGTTTTTTAATTTTTAGGTCAGAAGCTAGTAGAGTGGCACCAGTTAGACGTATCTTCTTTCTTGGACCAAGTGACGGGATTTCTGGGTGAACATGGGCAACTGGATGGACTTTCTAGCAGTCCCCCCAAAAAATGTGCCCGTTCAGTAAGTATGAATAAGAAGTGATAATGGGCAATTAAATGTAATTGTATATAGATGTCTTGTGTAAAATGTTTGAGGTTAAGATCTTAAAGATATTAATGTAAGTATTGGACAGTTACAATTTGTGGCTCTACAACATCTTAGATGCCCTTCTTATATTTTGATAATTTCCCACATGCGGATTCTGTCTTCTCAGTAAAATCATACGATTCATACTCCCAGTCTCCCTTGCAGTTAGGATACAGGCATGTGACCTAAGACCTGGGTTTAGAAGTAAGCAATGTGAATATGTAGCAGTGAGGAGGGGAACTGATTTAGCAAGCCCCGATGGTGGAGTAATCCACTTCTTTCAAAGGCAGCATTGCCAGGTCTAAGCAGCAGTAAAAAAAAAATAATGGTATTTTTGCTAGAAAACTCTCCTGGTATAGGTGGTCATTATTACTAATTATATAGCTTTAGGACCTGTCTCTCTAGCCCACCTTGAGATTACTTCTATACTTATTTTCTATAATATGCTATTATTATATGCTATTTGATAATTGGTCTAAATATTAATTGGAAATCATAGGCCTACAAAGATATCAGAATTTCACATTGGTTGTAGGAGCTGTTAGGGTTTGATTGTCAGTAAGGATAAAATTAGTTTTAGAAGATAAGACTTTAATAGTCCATATCATGCAGTGATGAAAGTTACTTAAGTAATCACATAGAATAAAGTACCCATTTAATAAAAGACTATATGGATACTTGCAAAGCGGGGGTATAGAATCCCCCTCCCCTCAATTATTCAGACACAACAGAGCAGAACTAAAACATTGTTTCACTTTTATCTATAGACTATTTCTTTGTTTTTTTCATTGCTAAGAGAAGTTTTACTTACCTATAATTCTTTTTTAAGGCATTAAAAAATCCAGAGTTTCTATAATTGTCCTAAGAGAGGTTCTTATCTTTTGCAGTCATAAGGCTGATATTGTAAAAAACCAGAGCCTGAGTTTGTGAGTTGCTGAATTTCAACATAAATTGAATTTACAACCTTACCAGCTCTCTTATAAAAATTAAAGGACTTAATGGAAAATAGTGGGACCATAAAAATTGGACAAATACATAGGGATGATTTGTACCTCAGACTCTACTTACTATACTAAATTATCTGATTATTATAAATTTTGATCAACTGTGTGCAAGAGAAACATCAACAAATAATGGCTTAAACGAGGAAGACATCTACTTTTCTCAGCAAGAAGTCCAGAAGCAAGCAGTCTAGGGATTGACTTTGTAATGTCATCAAGGAACCAGGTTCCTCCTCTTTTATTCCCCCCCTTCATTCCTAGTATTTATTGGCTTTTGTCCTCATGGTCACAGTTAGATGCTATACTCTTAGGTGCAAGCATGACAAGGAGGAACAGGGTGTTGACTGTTACAAAGGTAAACAGCCACGGATAAGAGTTTTGCTTATTTTAGCTGGGCACATTTTCTTGCACAAACATAACGGAGGCTCTGTTAATAAGGAAGCAGAGAAGACTGGATGAGAGATAGGAAACTAGCAGTGTCTGTCATAGTGTTCTTTAAAATCAACTTACATGGTATATAGTGTTATCTGCAATCTGTCCAAGCTGTTGCATGTCATGTGGGCACATCTGCTTGCTTTTCTGTGTGTGTGATAAATTAGCCTTAAGTTTATTATATTTAAATTTTTATAGCCTTAATAATTACTGTGCAATAAACTGAACACATTTAAAAATTAAAATTTGACAAATTCTGATATGAGTATCTTTTCATGTGCTTTTTTTGCTATCTCTTGATGAAGTGTCAATTCAGGTCTCTGGCTTGTTTTTTATTGGGTTGCATGCCATCTTAATTGTAAGGGTTCTTTTTTTTTTTTTATCCTCATGTTTTTTACTAATTTTAGAGAGGGGAAGGGAGAGAGAAACATCCATCAGTTGCCTCCTGTATGCACCCCAACCAGGGATCGAAACTGTAATATAGGTATGTGCCATGACTGGAAATTGAACCCACAACCTTTTGGTGTACGGGACGATGCTCCAACCAACTGGCCAGGTCTATAAGGGTTCTTTTTATAGTCTATATATAGAGTTTATAGATAATTTTCTCCCAGTGTGTTACTTACTTATTCATTTCATAATAGTGTTTTTTGAAGAGCAAATTTTAAATTACTGATGAAATCCAATTTATCAACTTTTATATTCTATGCTTTTTGTCTTATGTGATAATTTTTTTAAAATATATTTTTAGCTCTTAAGTCAGTGATCCTCTTTGAATTAATTCTTATATATGGTGTTAGGGTAGGGTCTAGTTAGGGTTTTTTGGTTGTTTGCACGTGGCTATGCACTTGTTGCAGCATCATTTGTGGAAAGGTTATCCTTTCCCTATTGAATTGCCTTTGAACCCTTATGAAAAATTGATCATATATGTTTGGTTTATGGGCTCTATTCTTTCCTGTGATTGATAAATCTTTCTTTACACCAGTATTTCAGTCTTAATGATTACTGTAGCTTTATAAGTCTTAAAATGTCATAGTTAAGTCCTCCATCTTTGTAGTTGTTTTGTTCAGGTCTTTTGCATATAAGTTTTAGAATCAGCTTGTCACTTTCTACAAAGAAAGGTACTAGGGCTTTGATTGGAATTGCATTGGCTCTATGGATCATTTTGGAGAGAATTTACATCCTAACAATATTGAGTCTGCAGATCCGTGAACATGGCATATAGTATATATCTCATTTATTTAAGCTTTGAATTTTTCTTAGCAATATTTTATAGTTTTTATATAATGAGCTTGTAGCCTGCAATCTTGCTAAACTCATTAATTAGTTCTAATAGCTTTTTTGTAGATTGCTTTGAATTTTCTGTAGACATAGTCATGTTGTCCACAAATAGACTTATTTTATGTCTTCCTTTTCAATCTCTTGCCTTTTATTTATTTTTTCTTAGTTAGGACTTCCAGCATAAAGTTAAAAGTAGGAAGATATTAGAGACCCTTGTTTCTGGTATTAGGGGGAAGTTGTCTTTCACCATTAAATTTGATGCTAGTGCCCTAGCCATTTTGGCTCAGTGGATAGAACATTGGCCTGCAGACCAAAGGGTCCAGGTTTGATTCCAGTCAAGGGCACGTACCTCAGTTGCAGCTCCTCCCTGGCCCGGGCCCTGGTCTGGGCACATGCCAATTGATGTGTTTCTCTTACATTGATATTTCTCACTGTCTTTCCCTCTCTCTTCCACTCTCTCTAAAAAAATAAAAATAAAAAAAAAATCAATGGAAATATATTCTCAGGTGAGGATTAAAAAAATTTTTTTGATACTAGCTATATGTTTCTTGTAGAGTGGAAACTTTTTTTAAAAATATATTTTTAATAATTTCAGAGAGGAAGGGAGAGGGAGAGAGAGATAGAAACATCAATGATGAGAGAGAATTATGGATAGGCTGCCTCCTGCCTGCTCCCCACTGGGGATAGAGCCTCCAACACGAGTATGTGCCCTTGACCAGAATTGTACCTGGTACCCTTCAATCCATAGGCAGACGCTCTATCCACTGAGCCAAACTAGCTAGGGCTCTTGTAGATACACTTTATCAGGTTGAGGAAGTTTCCTTCTAATCCTAGTTTGCTGAGTTTTCATATAAGGGAATTTTGTCATAGATTTGTCACATCTATTGAGATGATCATACGGATTTCTATTTTTAGTGAATTCCATTGGTTGGTTTTTTAATGGTAATCCAACCTTTCATTACTCTGCTAAAAACCACCTGGTTATGATGCATTATTTTTTAATATATTTCTGTCAAGAATTTTTGTGTCTCTGTGAGAGATATTGTTTGTAGTTTTTTTGTGTGATTGTTTTGTTTTCCTTGTAATATCTTTGTCTGGTTTTTTTTTTTTTTTAAATCTTTATTGTTCAGATTACATTTGTTCCTCT